TGGTAAATTGACAACGGAGTTATTGTTATGAACAGTTAGATGGTATAGTTGATATAATTGCAGTCAGAACAAAACCTTGTATCTCCAAAATGGTAACTTCGCAGGATAAGGCGGAAACATACTGTACTTTTAGGCCCACTGCCATTTCACCCCTTGCCCCTATCACGTAGCCCTACCCCTCAGTTTTGTGCGTTCATGCCTGGGAGTAGGGTGTCATGATTCTTGTTGAGATTTTTCAGAGACTCACTCCAAGCAGAGTGATATGAGAAAAAAAGAAAAACTCCTTACCCAATGAAGCGCAGCAGGACATCAGTGACGGCTTTGGCTGCCGTGACGATGGGGCTCTGCGGCTCATTAAATGTTCGTGCATTGTGCTCGATATACCTCACTTCCCACATCAGCGCAGAGATCCTCCTGCAGAGGGGATTTTCACATGCTTTAGCAACATGGCAACCACAGGGAACAGGCTGAAGCATGTCTGCAGTGATATGAGGACAAAATCTCATATACTGGAGATTTTTACCAACATGGCAACTAGGGGTGTGAATCTCCAGGTACCTCAGGATTCTATCTACCATATTTAACATATTTAACTTCTACGCTTTTTTATACAGTAATTTTATTAAAATCTTTCATGAAAATCATATATTAAACACCATAATACTGAGCAGCTCAACATATATTTTAACAACTATATCACCTCTTGATCTTTAAATGAAACAAAAGCAACTTCTGGCTAACAGCGCAGTTTTACCAATAAATAAAAATATTTGCTTGCCATTGGAATAGTCGAGTGTAATAGTGGAGTTCCACTTTATGACTGTGGAAAACCAAAGAGCACTACATTTTGATAATTTTACAACTTATCTGAACCATCAGGACACCTAAGCTGTACAGTAAATGCTGGTTTTGCTCCTACTATGTTGCTCTCTCTGAACCCCCGGCATATTTTTATTTTTGTACGCTTCAGCATTACATTATATCTGTTAGCATCTCTTCTGTAGATAAATAAAGCTACATTTTTAACACAGGGTCATGTTTACTATGGTTTTAGGGCTTTTATTTTACACAAAAATCAGTTTACAATTTGAGAGATTCTGCTTTTTTCCTGCTCCAAGCCAAGCTGTGCCAAAGTACCCTACTTTATAAAATCTCTGGCCATGTTTCAGTTTCTTACAGTAGGGAAATGCAGAGCCTGTGTAAAAAGCTGATTATGATGTTTTGTGAATCAGTTCAGAATTTTTCAGGAGAGAACTGCAATGCATGTAAGATCAACCCCCCCTTTTATGAGGATAAGAGTTAAGTAACTGTGTCTGCGTTAAGTATCTGTATCTACATAACTGCAGACAGAAGTGAGCTGAGTGCTTGTACCTGTAGAATCGGTGTACCAGTCTCAGTCTGATGGTGCTGAGGTCAGTAGGATAAGCCACCACAGTACAGTACAAAGGGTAGTCCCTCAGATCCACAGGACAGGAGAACGCCTTTGCTATGTCTAAACACAAACATGCACAAGAACATCTTGTTGGACACAGTCTCTTCACTAAACTTTTAAGCAAATAAGGTGTATAAAATCTGTATAAAACTTCCTTGACTGAGTGAATGTGGGACAACATGCTGAGAGAAGTACTACGTTATTATTTGCCACACAAACATGAGGGGTGGCGAGTTAAACCTGCCACCAGAGAAGTTAAGCAACCCGTAAGCAAGAGTAAAATCATTATCAACTCCAGCGTGCAGACCTGGAGGTTTCTTCATGCTAGTGTGTTTTCTATCACTTTATAAAAGAGGCACAGGGCTTCCTTTGTTGTTGGATACACAATGTATCCTCTATTACTTATCCTCCCAGTATCTGCGCCGATACCAGTATGTCTTTATTGGTGCAACCCCAGCTAAAACGTTGGTGTATGGGTGTGTGTGTGTGTCGTACCCAGAGCGAGGAGCTGGTCTATAGCAGTGATGACTCTCTCACACTCTTCATCGCGTGTGTGCGCGCCCCACTCTCCATCCTGTGGTTGATAAAGCAGTGCCTGAAGCTCCTCCTCCGTTACCGGGACACTGTCTCCAACCTCATCCGGGACTGGAGCTGAAGAAAGACAATCAATCAAACAATAACAGCGGCTGACTGGCTGGTTTGAGGAAACATGTTTCATGCAAACTTGTAGCCATCTTTTTTTTCCCCCATTTAGCTCACTCTCGCTCGCACACGCACACGCACGCACGCACATATATCAAAACTTGCCTTCATCTGGAATGGGTTCCATGTCCCATGGGCTCATTTTTTCTCTTTCTCCGTTATCCCACCTGAAGGAAAAATTAACATGCACATGCACAACCTGTTAAACTTTTGGAGCTGGACTGCCAATGATGGTATGCCTGCTCTACAACCCAAACTCAAATTCCTCTAGTACAATCAAAACTACAAGCAAGGTAGCTAGTGAAACGGCATCAGATCCAAAACTACGCGCACACATAGAGAACCACTTAGTGTAGGCGTTACCATGACAACGAGCATCACGTGTCCAGTCAGAGTGAGACAAGCAGCAGTGAGCAGCGCTTGTGTTTTTAATGACTTTAAAATGATGTCAGACTCAGGAAAACGTCCTTCACATGTCCTTATTAAAGAAGGCCGAGAGGAAGACGTCGTGTTCTGAGGCACATGAGCTGGACATCCGTCCCACCGCCGTCTTTTAAAGATCAGAGCATAAACTTCGTCTCCTCTGCAGACCAGTTTCTGCTCTGCCATGTTGAACGGTATAAACGTTCTCTATGACGCGACGAACATGATCAGAACAGACTTAAACTTTCCAACTGGGAATGTAATCAGATACAGGCGTTTACATGGATATTATTCTTCTATTTAATGGATTATTTACAGGATTACCCACCTCGTTCAGTCGGATAGAAACTGTTTTCAGAAAGGCCTCAATCAGACTAGTCTAGTATTCTGACTGAGATGTGTACATGGATGTATTCTATTCCTACTGAGCAATTAGTCAGATTATTAATTGATTATCAGGCAGAATGTAAACGTGGCTACTGTCTAACAGAACTATTTTCCTCTTGTAAATTTCTGACTAGACTGTCTGGATCAATTTATTTTTCCACTGCCACATCACAATCACCAGCTACCCAAGTATTAGTTCAGTGTTTTAACAAATGGTTCATGACTGATTAACCACATTTACACACAGCCCGATAATCCATTAATAATCTGACTAATAGCTCAAACACCTCACTCAGAATATACCTGTCCGATTGAGGCCATTTGGAATACAGTTTCTATCCGATTGAACGAGGTGGGTAATCCTGTAAATAATTCACTAAATCGTAAAGTTTAAGTATGTTCTGATCATGTTCATCGCATCATAGCGAAAGTTTATACCGTTCAACATGGCGGAGCAGAAACTGGTCTGCAGAGGAGACGAAATTTATGCTCTGATATTTAAAAGACGGCGGTGGGACGGACGTCCAGCTTATGTGTCTCAGAACACAATGTCGGCCTTCTTTAATAAGTACATGTGAAGTACTTGGGTAACACACCGCTGCTTGTCTCACTCTAACTGGACTCACGTGATGCTGGTTGTCATGGTGACATCTACACTAAGTGGTTCTCTATGCATGAGTGTAATTTTGATTTGGATTACTCGTAGTGAGCATGTACACAAATCTTCCATCAGATTGTTGAGTAGAGTGAAATATAAACATCTCAGTCTTAATCCATAATCGGAATGTACTCAATCAGACTGACAAAAATCTTTGCATGTAAACACGGCCAATGATAAAGTGTACCTGACAGTGTAGCACTGGAAAAGGCTGTCTGGGTATTCTGGCTGGTACGGCTGCTGATTCTCCACTGATCCAAACCACCAGGCATCGTCTATAATACTCCTGAAACGCTGCCCTACACACAGACACAGACAGACAGTTTGGTGGGCAGCTGTACAACAAAGCCGCAAAAGTCTGACATGGAAAAATTCCGTTTTCTTATGCACACAGTAATAAAACAGTAATAAAACAAGAAATAAAAAGAAGTAACAACAAAAAAGTCACACTTCTCCTTCTCTTACCAGTTTGCCAGTTGCGTTCTTTGGCCTCGTTGTAAAACTGCTGTAGCACCAGAAAATCTATGACATCAGGCATATCATGATACCTACATAAAAGACAGAAAATCCCATCATCAAAGAGGAACTCCACTGATTTTTACATTAGTCAGTGATGACTTTGCTAACATCTTAACAATTTAATTACATAGATATTTTTTTTTTTAATTGCTGGAATTTCCCTTCAGTAGCATCGCAGTAATAACATAAAAGCGTCTAACCAACTACAGTAAGTGTTACAGTGAACATCCTGACCAATCACAGCTCTAGGTGAGCTTCTGTAGTTGTTCTGAGAAACCATGAAATTCATGCAATCCAACAAAAGCAAGTTATTTTGGTTACAATAAGGTAGGCAGATCTTCAACCACATCGCATTACTGATTCATCAATGTGTTCATAATGCAATGTAATAAGTATCCCGATTGCAAGATCTACCAATATAATCGCAATGCTAGAGCAACACTTTGGCTCATTTTCTGGATTATCTGGATGTGCGTCACAACTACGTCATACAAGTGGCCACTCGTGGTGGAAGTGGAAACACTCACGCTTGCCAGGTTAGCCTCAGTGAGCATATCAACTACCCATGCAAACTTTCCAATGCAGTCTTTTTTTTCGAGAATTCTGAACGCAGCATACATAAAGCTAATAAATAACGGGTTTGTCTGGCCACAAACTTTAGTGTAGAAACATTGTGCAGAGTCTTTCTTTTTGTTGTTGGCGGCAGTGTAGCTCAGTGATGAAATATCAGCAGTCAGTATTGCTGTGTTTACACATTGGCGCTAGACAGGTGAAGGAAAATAAACTGGATGATTTTTTTGGGAGCCAAGGATGCAAAACAACTCACTGTTGAAATCCAGGCCAACTTATTACATAAAAAAACGTTAAATAAACAATACACAAATGACAGAACTCTCCTCTGATAATCACCCATTTTTGTCCATAGCTCTGTCACCATGCCAATGTTTGTGTGGCTTTGTGCCGGTACCATACCGCTCTGAGGCACGGAACAATGTTTTCAAAGTCAACGTGTAAATGCAGCATAAGAAATGGAGTAAAGCCCAGTAGGTTGACTGTTATTGTTTTGAAATATTAAGCATTTAAAGTATTTAACTGCTATGGTTTATAAACAGGTTTGTCCACCATTTTTCCGGGATTGCATCAGATGGCTCATCTAACACACTTCATTGGACATAATACAGTAATGGAACGGCCCTTAAAGTGGAGTCAGCGACTGCCCTGAGGTGAAACGGCGAGGCCAAGGGCACAAGGACTTAAAACCGATGACAGTGAAACAGGCAACAGTATTTTGACTGTATTGTGCAGCGCTGTGTGTTCATACTTCAAGCTGAAGGACTCGCTGGTCATCTTCCCTGAGAGCGGGTCCAGGAAGGCCAGTTTGAGGCAGCAGAGAGTGGGAGGACCCACCTCATACTTTATACCCACCACCTTCACACACTCTTGATCCTGCAACATATATACACACACACACACACACACACACACACACACGTCAGTCGCACAAGCATTCTGTACAGTACATCACTTTAGAGCAAGACAAAGTTCATATGCACATATACGCAGTACTGTGTCAAAGACCATCCTTCATTTAATTACAAGCTATTCATTTTCTATATATTTCTGAGGAGATCAGACATAAAATAATCCATATAAAATAACTGCCTAAAGAAGAGTTCAAAAAGTGATTAAAAGCTACAGAAATTGGGGCTTCTAACAACCACCTGCAAGACCATCAGATAAACAGTGCCTACACAATACCATTCAAACGTATGGAATAATCTGTCATTTTCTGCTATTTTATACACAATAACTTGTACAATGTTCACTATATGGACAAAAGCATTGAAACATTGGATTCAGTCTCATTGCCACAGGTGTTTAAAGTCAAGCACCTAGCCATGCAGCCTGCCTTTACACACATTAGTGAAAGAAGTTTGTTCTAAAGAGGTCACTGAATTCCAGCGTCGTGCTGTAATAGGATGCCACTGCTGCAACAAGTCAGTTCGCTGAATTTCTTCCCCCCTAGATTTTCAATTATCAACTGTGAGTGATATTATTGAAAAGTGGAAGCGTTTCAGAATCACAGCAACTCAGCCATGAAGTGTCAGACCACGTAAAGTTACAGAGTGGGTCTCCGAGTGCTGAGGAGCATAGAGCTTAAAAGTCACACAAATCAAGGAGAGCCCTGACCCCAACCCCATCCAACACCTTTGGGATGAACTAGAACGGAGACTGTGAGCCAGGCCCTCTTGTCCAACGTCAGTGTCTGACCTCACAAATGCTCTCCTGGATGAATGGACAAATTCCCACAGACACTCTACAGAATCTTGTGGAAAGCTTCCCAGAAGAGTGGAAGCTGTTATAGCGGCAAAGGGGGACCAACTCCATATTAATGCCTCTGGATTTAGAATGGGAGTCATAAAAGCTCCTGTGTAGGTGTCCCAATACTTTCGTCCATACAGTGTACATTTAAATATTAGATAGGAGACAAAAAGTACTTTGTTTTCCTCAATATTTCACATATGCTGGCAGCAATATGAAGATAAAAAAAAAAAAACCATATGATGTGTGTCTGTGTGTGTGTGTGTTATACCCTGAGGTCCAGTCTATTCCAGGGCTGTTTCTGAGGATTGATACTGTAGGCTTTGGCACGACGCACTGCACGCACATACGCCTGGTGACCCTGCCGGAAATATATCAGCTACACAGGGGGAGAGAGAAAGGAAGAGGGAAAGAGAGAGAACTAATTACAATGCTCTTATGATGTTACTATCTATAAACATGAACAAAAGTACAGACAAACCTGTCTGTGTGTACAATAATAATTAGTGGTGCATAATTAGCATTGTATAATAACCTGTAGCTTCTGTGCACATTAACGTATGTATATTGTGGGTGAAATGGCAAAAATACAATATTAAGATATGCGATACTTACTACAATATTCTGTTGTTCTTGATAAGTTGGAACAGACAGAATGTACCAGCAATGCCCACATTAAACAAAAAAAACACTACCAAAATCTATGAGTACAGTGATTGTTATTCAGTGGCAGTCATGGGCTGGAGATTAGGGAACCAGCCTTGTGACCAGAAGGCCGACGGTACGTTACTGAAGTGCCCTTGAGCAAGGCACCTAACGCCCAACTGCTCCCCGGGCGCCGTAGATAGGGCTGCCCACCGCTCCGGGCAAGCGTGCTCACTGCCCCCTAGTGTGTGTGGTCACTAGTGTGCATGTATGTGGGTGTTTCACTGCATGGATGGGTTAAATGCAGAGGTCTAAATCCTCTGTGTGCAAACACAGTTGGCTAATGGTTCTGATGAATGATTCAACTGAATTCAGCATTTTAGCATCCAATTAAACCGGACTAGGTTTGCTCTCTTGTTTGGTCAGTGTTCTTTAAGTGATGATATCGAAGATATGCTGAGAAAAGAGTATTGTGGCATATTGTGATGTAATTTGTCACAATTAAATGAATATCGTCACATTGCCCACCCTTAGCACGGTGTGCATTTGACTGCTGTATGTTACCTCGTCCCCCATCTGAGGTAGGAAAGGAGATCGTCTGGGAACTGTCTCCATGATCCAGGACGGGGGATGCCACTCCTCAAGCTGACCAGCAGGAACGTTCTACACACACACAAATTGAATAAACATGTACAAAAGAACTGAGCAGGTCAAATAAACCGACTAGATGAATGAACGTGAAATCTGATAAACAGATAGATGAACAGAAGTAACTCACTTTTTGTTTAGTTTGTTTGGGTTTCTTCTTTTTCTTCTCCTCCTCCTCCTTCTTCTTCCGCTCCTCTCCCTCTCCCTGCCCCTCCCCTTCATCCTCTGAGCTGCTGCTTTGGGCAACACGAGCCGGCCTTCTGATTGGCCGTTTAGGAGGCTGGAGGTTGATTCCAGCGTCCGCCGTCCAGTCAGAATACTCGCTGGAGGAGTCACTGGAAACAAGAGAAAAAGATGAAATCAAAGAATGTTGATTTTAATGTCAGTGTGTATCAGGTTTGATGTCAGATATTGGGAGGAGATGTAAGTGGATGAAATGATAAATGTCATGACATCGTGAGTGAGACATCAGCTGGTGGGCGGACCTGGAGCTGCTGGCGTTCTCCCACTGATCCTCGCTTTCAGATGAGACGTCACTGTTCTCCGCCTGATCTTCCTCCTGCTTTTCAAACAAAGACACAAAAAACAATAAAGATATTTTTCCTGACACAATAGGTGAAACTAAACTACACTGTACAGCAAGTATGCCTGATAAAATGAAAAAATGTTGTTGGAAGAAAACCTCACATCTCCAAAATGGTAACTGTACAGGTGAAGAAGAAAACCTGCTTTACTTTTAATGTAAGTCAATGGACTTTATAAATGAGTATATATATATATATATATATATATATATATATATATATATATATACATATATATATATATATATATATATAACACACACACAGACATATACATATACATACATATATATATATATACATACACACACACACACACACATACACACACACACATATATCTGTTGTTAGAACAGAACCTTGTATCTCCAAATCGATATCGCTGTTGTTCGAACAAAACCTTTTTTTTTTTTTCTTCGCCATTTTTCAGTATCCACGTGTGTGTGTATACATATCTACAATACAGATCGCTGGTTGAAATATGAATGGGAAACTACAGAACGCTCAAGTCAATCAGCTTGCTGGTTATGCCACAATCCCATAACTGATGCACCAAATTCCTAAATTAGGTTTTTTATTCATTTTATTTGCGTCTTGTACCTCTGCTTCGCTGTCTGATTCTCCAAGGCTGTCTTCCCCCGAGTGTGAAGGCATGTGTGTGCTCCTCCTCCTCTCGCGGGCCGACCGCGTGTGATACGAATGTCTCTTCTGCTGCTGTTTCCTCGAAGGTCTCCGCAGAGAGCGGAGAGAGACGCCAATTGGCTCAGCCTACAGAGAGACAGGCACAAAAAGAACGAAATAACAAATGAAATCAAATACGGACGTAAGAATGGGCAGAGTCTCCCCATACACCCAGATTAAGGGTGTAAATGAAAGAAAGAAAAGAAAAGAAAAGAAAGAAAGAAAGAAAGAAAGAAAGAAACATACTCGAGTAGTATTGACAGGTTTTTTCTTCTTCTCAGTGTTGTACAGAAAACGCTCCAATTCCCCTTTGGCCACTCGACTCTCCTCCATAATCCTTAACAAACACACAAAAATATAAACACAAATGCTTATTAATTCGCTAAATTCCCTTGTAACACAAAAAAGACTTACAACTGTCCTTAACAATTACTAAAGCAGCTTAAAAGAGCTACTGGAGGCAAATTTCTGTTTTCTCAAGCAGGGCATTATTTCTATAGCTCATCAATCTATCAACTATTGTTCAATTAATTGAACAATAATTCAATAAATTTTAAATAAAACATTAATAAAATTAATTGAAACTGAACCATTAACACTGTAGATGTCTTTTGAGATCCAAGTGGCCCCCAATTGTTGTCAATAGGAAAGACTGCTGGGCGAGTCGTCTTTTGTGCTGAGAACTCCAGGCTGAAACGTTCCAACTCAGAAAGGTCAAGTGACCCACATCCTGAGAGTTTTTCTGTGCTGACCAATCAGATCAAAACAAAGCTGGACCTTCAGTGACAACTGTGCCAGCTCAAAGTCTCTGAGCGTAGGCAGTTGCAGTCCCTGAGTCTCTTGAACTGTAGGATGTCACTGTAGGACAATAGTAAACTTCTTTTCGTATTTGCCACGTTTTACCTTTATTAGCATTACATTTTAAAACCTAGAAGGCATGAAGGTTAACTGGTTGTTTTGAATAGCAAATAAAATGGCTACATTTATGCTGTAGACATCTGGTTACTATCATGTCCACTGCAAAAAACACAACGGACCTTTTCGCATCAAACTCCTGTGAAGAAAAATCAATGGAATTTCCGTTTGAAAGGCACCGTTGAAGTCTCGTATAAAGTACCTGAACACTCCTGACGGAATCTCGTTAACCACCACACGGCGGCTCCACGCCAGCAGATCTCTCTCCGTAGCCATCTGACTGCGGGGGGCATTGTTGTGCATTTGGCGGACCCCCTCCACCTGCCCGCTTCTACGCAGGCCGACGTTGGGTGGCGACAGAGGGCCGCCTGCTGCTTCACCACCTGACGAACCACAAAGTTTATATAAAATTTATATAAACCAGTTTTTCTTGCAGAAGCGTAAATGCTGGCGACATTGAATGAAAGGAGCTAAAGACTAAAGGGGCACCTGCTTGCTGGTTTCCTGAGTTCATTCTCTCGTCCTGCTGGTACTGGAGCTGTCTGATCAGACTGTCCAATGGGCTTTCTTCCTGACCTTCATCCGCCGTCTGCTGGCCAATCACCTGCTCAACCACCTCGCCATCACCTAAGTGAGAGATAAATGGAGTTTCATTGGTCTGAAATGTCACTATGAACAGCACACTGAACTTAAACTGACAGTATTTGTTAGGTGCATAATAGCGATGTGCTGAAAAATAATAAATAAATAAATTAATAAACAAAAAAATAAGTAGGCATACAACAAATTGCCTACCAGTATAACTTACTGAATATAACTTATACAATAATAAAGGCAGCTATAAATACTACATATGAAATTTCTTCCACATGTCACAGCTAAACACAGCAACTGCCGTTGAATATGCTTACTGGTCTTTGGCTACACACTTAAAAAAGGATGGTTCTTCAAGGGTTCTTTAGTAAAGAAAATGGTTCTGTATAGAACCATAAACACTTAGAGCCCTTCGCATGATTAAAGGGTTCTCTGCATGTTGAAACGTTCTTCAGAATGATGAAGAATGCGTTATGTTTAATGTAGAAAATTTAATGTAGAAAATCGGTTCTTTATAGCATCAAAAAGGGTTCTCTTACTGTGACATCATAACAACAGCAGAACCCTTTCTGGTGCTATATAGGACCCTTTTCAAACAGGTTCTATATACAACCATATACAACACATTCTCCATCAATCTGAAGAACCACTTCACAATACAAAGAACCCTTTAATCATTCAAAGGGTTCTAAGAGTGCTCACGGTTCTACTCAGAACCACCATCTTTACTAAAGAACCCTTAAAGAATATCTTTAAGAGTGTAGATTATTGTTGCCAGCTAAGCAGCAGTTACAGGGGATCTGAACAAAGCCAGCTGTGTGTTGTTTGTAATCAGCCACGTAGCTTATCTGAAAGTGAAACTGGCTGGGTACCATTCACTGATAGCCATGAGGCGCAGCTGCTTGAAGCTACATAAACAGTGCACCTACTGACTGTACTGTGAACCTTTAGCAGTAGCAGTTATCAGCAGAAATAAGTTTTAATGCTTCAATTTTACAAATTAGCTTACTGAGCTGACTTAAACCTACTGATACAGTATGCAAACCAAATGTAAATGTGTTCAGTACATAACTATGCAATTATTTAGACATTTTTTAAATATTCACCACAACAAAAATCATAAATACGACTCATAGGGGGTTAAAGTCATTCTCTAACTGTACCGTTAGCCATGTAGCCAAGCTGAGGCACCAGCTGCTCCTCCTTGCAGTTCTCTCTGCCAGGCACCAGGCGCTGGAAGCGCGGGGGGTGAGGGTTTCCGTCCACGTCCACCAGGAACGGTGGGGGCATGAGGTGAGGCGCCTGCTGCGTCTGCTCATCCAAAACGTAGTTATTGGAGTCCCGGATCAACGGCCGGAAATCCGTATGGAAGAACATCTGGTCTGGAATCTAGAACGACACAGCAAATGACAATTTGGTCGAAGGAGTGTAACAATAAATGGATCAGTAGATGGTGGACGGCACCAATTTCAGATGTCAGAATTAACTATGATCAATAATAATATTCAAAAATGAAAATTAGCTTTTAATAAATGTGCTGAGAACATAAAAGGTGCACTGGTTTAACTGTCTAGTTTCTCTGGTCACATTTGTGTGTTCAGTGTATTTTATTTAAGATTTAATACTCAGTTGTTTCTAACAGAATCAATCAGTCTTGATTGATTCCTGATCAATGTTGAACATGCTTTAAAAGAGGCACAAAAGAAGTATTTCATTGTGTTGTTTACCTAAAGAAAAGGGGGGGGGGTGCTTTAGTGTTCTATGACTAACACTGTTATTCTGACAGATTGCAATACCCAAAAAGAAACATAGTGATACAGCTTTCCCTGTTTCACTGCATCATAAGAGAAGGGTGGCTCTCTAATAATCTAATATGCAAAAATCCAAACTCATCTCATTTTTTAAAAATCTAATTGGTTAATTAAAGAAGGCCTGTCTGGTTTAGAATAAAAAGAAATAAGTTATATATTGTCTCGTATTGTTATTATCAAAGTTTTCTGAAACATGAGTATCTTATACTTTGCCTCAAGTCGCATGAAGCGCACCCTTGTTTATTCATAACAATATAAATAGCTTGGAAATTGGTAAAATGGGACAAAATATATTTGGGTGGCTGTCAGTATATTTCGGGGTGAGGGGGCACAAAAGTGTAGCACAGGTTTGGAAAACACTGCCTCTTTGAACTCTGAATGATGGTGGAAGCAAAAGCAGAGGAACCAAAGAAGGCAGTTGCAGTAGTTGATCGTTCAAATAATGATCTATAGATAACTCGATTATAGAACTAAGCCCTACTGCCTTCTGCTATACTGGCTCTTTTAATAACGGCTTCAATAACTACTATTCATCACTCTCACTCACTCACCTTCTCGTAGGGTTGGCTGCAACCAAAGCCAAATATGAGTAGATGTCCGTGAGAGTCAGTGCAGGCAAAGTGTTGACCATCAGTAGAAAACTTACAGTCAAACACTGCCCCGTGGCCCTGGCCTTCAATCTGAAAGAGAGAACAGTAACACATTAACCTGACTTACACTGTACGATTTTGGAAATCTTGTGTTTTGGTGGCTCGCACTGAAATTTGCCCATTGTGTACAGCCAAAGCCTGCGATCTATATACCCACACTGTACAAAAACCCTCAGTCTGACTGACATACTGTGACATGGGTACTCACACAATAAACATGCTTGTGCTGGACCAGCATATTTATTTCACATGTTGCAGCGATATGATCCGAGCAGAACCCTCAGATCATCAGGAACTAGTCAGTTAGTCCTGCCGAAGGTAAAGACTAAACAGCAGCAAATCCAGACTGAAAACGTTCCTATTTGAGCAGCTTTCAGCTCAGTTTAAGCAATGTTAGCATTTGTAGCTTATCCTAATTTAATCTGATCTTTAATTTACTGATTTTCTCTTTTAAATCTATTGTTTTAATAATGTTTTTAATTTGTTCTTCTTTACTTTTTAAATGACTATTTTCTCATTTGTAAAGCACTTTGAACGACAGTGTATGATAGGTGCTATATAATTAAACTTGCCTTCACAATGCACATGAAACTCAGTCCCTACAGATCAAGGCTCGGCAAAATGCGGCTCTTTCACTGCCCTGTTTTGGCTCCACAGCAGAATTAGATTTGTAGGTAAAAATAAAATAATCCTGCTGATAAATAAAGCTCTGCTGATCGTTCTAACACTGTTTAACCTTGAAGGTTGGCGTGAAGACTGTTGGTCTTAGCAGCTCAGACAAAAGTCTCGCCTGGCTAGTAGCTAACGAAAAGGCAAAGAGAAAGATTTCAGACGAACAACGATAATTTGGAGATAAAAGGACTTAAGCGCTCAGCTGGTTTCCTGATATGTTTAATCTGCACTGAGAAACTGTCAAACAGGCACCTCAGGCACCATTTAAAGGGAATGGGAACGGGAAAATTTTAACGAATAGCTGGCGAATGAGAAGCGACTTCAGCCTCGTAAAAAGTCAAACGTTGAAATTTACAAGAAACTGTTCTACTTTTGAGGGAAAGTTTCCTGCTGGAGATGCGAGAAAAGCAGCTACAGATGAGCTGAAGCTTAAAGCAGAGCAAAGTAAGTCTGTGTTTTGTTTACATTATATTAGTCTATACTAGGACATTAGCACATACTGAGACATATTGACAGGTAAGATGGTAAAATGGACATAAAATGTTGTGGATCCCAAGGTGGTTTGATTTTTGTTGAAAGGACAAAATGGCTCTTCCACACATTTGGGTTGTCGACCTCTACTACAGACAGCTCTGTCCATTAATACTTTGCAAAAGGTGTTTCATTCAAAACAACATGCTGCTCATCCAAGTACTGAGCAAAAACGAAAAACTGCTACAGCAGCTTTGCTACCTTGTGCCGCACTGGTCAAAGAAAATCAAACCAGACGGTTACATGCATGGGTAGGACACTACGGTCTCTCTACAGCCTATTTTAGAAAGACAGACAACAAAAAAAACACCCTTTTAATGCAATTCCAATCTTGGTTACAGCTAACAGCTTGTTTTTACTCTATGTGTGTTCACCTGTGTTGGGACAGTGGTTGTGATAATGTATGTGTGTATTCTGGGTGACTGAGAAATCGGTTTGTGAAATCTCATCAAGCTGCAAGAGAAATGACCAAAGTTTCTGACAGAAATCCATCTGTTTGTCTGACTTCTAAATCAGAGTTAATTTGGGCAGTTAATCAAGCATCAATCATGCAACGGTGTATGAGACTGCTGCTGCTACACCTGCACCAAACCGGTGTAGCATAATTATGCGTGACTCACTATGCTAAATATCTAGTCGCCTCTTACTTTCAAACAAGCATTGTATTAGATTCATATTATTTAAACAGGCTATTTAAGAACTAGAAATGCCAGTTTAGCCCATCGAGAAGCAAATATTGTTTTTTGTATTTAAAGTTTCGCTGACAGAAATCACTGGAAATGTGCTAATAGTTTTTATGGGTTTATTTGGCCCACTTAGTGCGAGCTTCAAGGAAAAAAAACTAATGTTTGAAAATTTATGATTGGTGCATTTCTGGCTTTTACATAACACTTAAAATGATATTACCAGAGATTTAACATCAGGATTCACACCCATGCGAATAAATCTGTTTAAATGTATTACTGGCTTAACAGTATACTGATCAGGCTTTAGCAGTGATTACAGTCAAACATCAAACAGTTTCCTGCTCACCATGTTGAAGAAGTTTCGTATCTTTGTCCCTTTGCTGATGTCCCAGATGTAAATGTTTCCATCATGACCAGCTGACAGCATTATCCTCCAGTCAAAAGGGTGGGCCTCCAGCACAAACACTTCATCATCATGACCCTACAGTCAATCAGAAATGCATGTTCACAGAAGAGCCAGAGAGAGCATAAAACTATCGAGACCAAGGCCCAATCCCATTTCACCCCTTGCCCCTACCACTTAGCGCTTATCCCTCCATGTCATTTCAATGTATTATACTCCTTTTCTTCGTAACGGGCTTTAAAAATTGCTAGTAGTGCTGATGTCTTGGTAGCTAGGTAGCTAACTTTCCCGTTCAACCTTAAATGGTGCAGCAGTTCTGGTACCTCAGGCATCAGAACTGCTGCACCAATATAGGTTGAATGGGAAAGCTGGCAAATATCTGACGTCAGCTTCATATCACTGAAGAATTAGGAGTGGGCGATAATAAATAATTGCCCCCCTCTTTGAAGATCATATGATGCCCTAAATGTAACTAAAGTCCAGCAGTGAGGAGCTGAACTTTACCCTCCTCTGCTGTCACTGCAGACTGGCAGGGTCGCCTACAGAGCAGCACTTGTAGCTGTTAATGAAATGATGCTCTTTTTATTTGAGGGTCCCATTTCAGAGGGAAGATTTCAACCACTACTCCTTGTAACTCAGATCCAGGGGACAAGGTGACCCTCGAAAACAAGGGGTAGGGGTAAAAATAAGAAAAGGGATTGGGCCCTAGTCTATTTAGCAAACACTTGTAATGCAAGTAAAGACAAAAAACACAAAAGGAACAGAAATGTGTTCTTTTTGTAGGTACAATTGTGAGCTGTTGCTGGCCATATACACACTAAATGAATACATTTACATATTTTTTATATACAGCTGCATGCTGCATTTATCATTATGATTAATTAGATTTTTGCCAGCTTGGCTGACCTGGCAATAATTGCTAAGTAAGAACATGTGGTCAATTTTTGTGTTTACACAAACACACACCGAGAGCACGTGCAGTAGCTGGCCATTTGTGGAGTCCCAAACTTTGAGGAGAAGGTTGGACACGGCAGTGATGACTGTTCGGTCACTGTGGTCCCACGCCACCATGGTGACCACGAGCTTGGTCGACTTGTCCTCCCCTGATGCTGCAGTGCTCCTGAAAGTATACATGGAGATAAAAGATTTGGTTGCAGGACTAGCAGAATTAGGGAATACGGTCAAAAAGTGTATTTTCATTATGTACGTCTCATGATTTATGTTTTATGTAGCGTAAACTTATGCTCTTAATGTAAACTATCTTAGGGTGATAACATTTCGCCACTGACTACAGATCAAAAATTAGTGTTTTGGGGTAACCCTGGCTGATTTATAGCTCTGTTGATACTGTTTACTAAAGGGGAATTCTACCAACTTTTTCAAAATCCCTGCTTTATTCAATTGTTAAGATGTAAACAAAGTCATTCAGAGGGGTCTGATGTGAAGTGATCCACTATAAAGACACGTACAGATTTTGTACTCGTTTCTTCACAGTGGTGTCATAGCGACAACTCAAATTTAGCCACTTATCCAAATCCACTAGTGAACCTAAACAAGTTTTTTTTTATGTAATGTTCATAATGGTAAAATTGTAAGTCAGAAAAAAAAATATATATATTTTTTACCTTACAATAGTCTGCATGTACTTTAACAAACATATTTTAGGCTACAAGTTTAAAAAAACTATCGTAAAACAATGTCTCAGGCAGCAGGCAGCGTGTCTAAAAACAATTAATGTAATAACTTCCTGTAAGGGATCTTTTAAAGGCATAAAAGTGCTTCCTATCACCAGTATTGTCAGTAATTCTGACTGACAACTCAGAATGAATTTGTTTACGTCTTTATAATTTAATTCAGAAACTGTGAAGTTACATCTTTACCAATTAATGCAGAAACTAGAGTTTTTTTTATGGCCACACTTCTTGACAAATAGATGAGAAATAAATGAAAAAAAATTCTACCATGCAATATAATTATCAACACTTACTATATGTATTTCAAATGTAGCAACTGTTCAACATCTTTGGTGCCAGTGCTGAACTGTGTACAGACTTTTTTTTTTTAGGTACAATAATTTTATCGAAAATACCTCAATCAATATTGAAATGCTGGATTCTGCTAAATATCTTTATTGTTTTATTAACCAGGCCAATGAAGTAGGCAAGTGGAATTTATCCACTTTGAAAAGTAAATCAATTTATAACCAAAACACGTCTTTGTAGAGGCTCAGTCTTACCCGGGCAGTTTAGTGCTCATGTCCAGAGTGATGCCCTTCCACTCCTGCTGCTGGTACTGCCAGATTCGAGCTGTACCGTCACGACTACCGCTCACAAATCTCAGACTGAGAACATAGCCAAAACACCCAATCAGTGACGGAAACATAAAACAAAAACAGAAAAAATCTAAATCAGAGAGATAGTGTACAAGCAAAGACGCACAGGGAATTACAATACCACTGCCATTTACAAAGGCAGCTGACAAGACAGGCCAGGCAGTTACACTTCAGCAAGAAAACAGTCCAAACAGAGGGCAGCAAAGAAAGCTTACCTGTCACTGTTGTTGCAAAACTGTACTGCGACAACTTTATCCTGAAAAGCAAACAGCAAGTGGTGCAATTAGCGTCAATATCAATATAACAATTAACATGTTAAACCTGTAAAAATCTCGTTCTCTCCCTTTTTTCTTAATTAAGGTAGAAGACCAAAGTAGAGACCAAACTAAACATTAATGACAAACTCAGCGACAGGAATCAAACGTAGGGGCCGTTGCCACTTCCATCTCACCGTGTGGGAGTCCAGGTCCGAAAGCTTCAGAGGGGTTTCGCTGCCCAGGTAATAAACCCTGATCACATGATCCGTCCCTCCAGTGGCCAGGAACATCCCACCTGAGGGTTTAAGGTTACACAGGCACGAGTTAATTCACAGCAACAGCACAGAAACTTGTTGTTAATCATATTATGATGCAGCTTTAAAAAAATCTTTGTGTTTAAAGTAAGCATTCATGGTAACAGTGGTATCATTGATCAAGGCTGCGTTCAGAAGGTGGAGCATTTCACTGCTGTCGGAACAAAACCTCCTATCTCCATTTTTGTCGTTTTTCAGTTTTTGACAATTTGAAAATGCCTGTTTACCTTTACATTGTGTGTAAATTTCATGATGAATGGACCAAATGACCCAAAATTACATGGAAAAAACTCCATTGACTTACATTAAAAGTAAAGTAGGTTTTTACACTCTCTTGTAAAGTTACCATTTTGGAGATACAAGGTTTTGCTCCGACAGCAGTGATATTCTACTCTGAGCGGCATTATATCCTAAAGGAGGATGCAGGCTACACTCGTTCAGCCGCAGATAAGCCACAAAAGGCCGTACCTTACTGCAAGTTTATCACAGGGAAGGGTGTTCTTAGGCATGACGCTAATAGGTAACGTACGCTCTGAAATGGCTTACTGCTTTTATAAAACAGCCGCCAACATAAAATACGATTAAATAAACTATTTTCTGAAAAAATTGTGTAAGTTATTATAAATAATAATAGACAAACAAATATTCCTCCAAGAAATGCAGTTCCTTTAGAGTACGGTATCAATGCCAAGCCCATCGATGTGTATTATGGTCATTTCATGAATTTTTTAACTTTTTGTCGTGTAACAATGAACATCTGATAACAGCACTGTTTCATGCAATAAAACACAGCCGCACACTGTGACCACGGCAACAATCCAGAACGTAAAACTCTGAGCTTTGATCCAATCAGAGTGTGCAACAACGTCTGCGCCCTTTCAGATTTTTTGATGTACAAAGTCTGCGACACCCCAGCAGCAGAATTTTGTCTCTTTTAGGTCATTTTTTGTCGCCTGGATTACAAATTGGCCTTAACACCACCCACCTCTCCTTCATCCAAAAATTAGTTCAGGTGCATTTTTTTTTCAGGATACGCTCTGAGATCTGAATGCAGCCTAAAAGGAGTTACATCTCCAGTGAAAGTGAGAACAGGGTGTGTGTGGGTGAATGAGTGTGTATTCTCACCGGTGCTGAAGGAACAGCAGGATATCTGAACACCCGGACGAGAACGCTCAGTAAACTTCACCGGCCTGTCACTGTGAACATCCACATACACAGATTTGGTTAATATGTCAATACAATACATCCAGATATGTATCATATACACAGATCAGGCATAACATTATGACCACCTCCTTGTTTCTACGCTCATTGTCCATTTTATCAGCTCCACTTACTATATAGGTGCATTTTGTAGTTCTACAGTTACAGACTGTAGTCCATCTGTTTCTCTGCATACTTTGTTAGCCCCCTTTTACCCTGTTCTTCAGTGGTCAGGACCCCAATGGACCCTCACAGAGCAGGTACTATTTGGGTGGTGGATCATTCTCAGCACTGCAGTACCACTTGTGCTGGTCTGAGTGGATCAGACACAGCAGTGCTGCTAGAGTTTTTAAACACCTCAGTGAGAATAGTCCACCAACCAAAAACATCCAGCCAACAGCGTCCTGTGGGCAGCGTCCTGTGACCACTGATGAAGGACTAGAGGATGACCAACACAAACTGTGCAGCAGCAGATGAGCTATCAGTGGACAGGTGGACTGACAAGGTAGGAGTGTCTAATAGAGTGGACACAGTGTTTAAAAACTCCAGCAGCACTGCTGTGTCTGATCCACTCAGACCAGCACAACACACACTAACACACCACCACCATGTCAGTGTTACTGCAGTGCCGAGAATGATCCACCACCCAAATAGTACCTGCTCTGTGAGGGTCCATGGGGGTCCTGACCACTGAAGAACAGGGTAAAAGGGGGCTAACAAAGTATGCAGAGAAACAGATGGACTACAGTCTGTAACTGTAGATCTACAAAATGCATCTATATAGTAAGTGGAGCTGATAAAATGGACAATGAGCGTAGAAACAAGGAGGCGGTAATAATAACACCACACTTACATGAACTTCATGGTGAGGCTGTTCCACTGCCAGAAGCAGACCATACCATCAGCTCCTGTAGAGGCCAGGTAACGTGTAGAGCCAGTTGCAGACGCAGAGAACTAGAGAAAAAAGCAAAAAAAAACCTTCAGTTCAAAGGTAAAGCAATACTTTACTGCTAAAAAACAGAAGAACAATGATACAGCACGACAAACTCTTACCTACAAAAACATGCAAAGGTACAAAATTTTATCTTAGAGAGCTACAAGTGTTTTGGCTGTGCAATATACTACATTGACAGAAGTATTGAGACACAACTTTTAATCATTAAATTCAGGTGTTTCATTCAGTCTCGGTGCCACAGGTGTATAAAATCAAGCAGCTAGCCATGCAGCCTGCCTTTATACACATCAGTGAAAGAATGGTTTGTTCTAAAGAGCTCACTGAATCCGAGCATGGTGCTATAATAGGATGCCACCATTGCCAAGTCAGTTCATGATATTTCTTCCCTCCTAGAAATTCCATGATCGACTGTGTTATTATTTAAAAGTACAAGTGTTTAGGAACCACAGTGAAAGTCATGGATTACTGCTTGCAAGTTCTTAGACACTCTGATCAACTTAAAGTAAAATATAAAGGGACAAAATGCTTCAGTTACATTTTGTGTCTAAGAATTTCCAGGGGTGCCAATAATTGTGGCACATGTGGTTTTGTTAAAAATAATTAGTTCTTGCTAAGGGATTTTTATTTTAATCTCAGAATAATTTCACTTCAATTAAAGGTTGGATTTTTCACATTTTTTCAGTGTGAGATTAAGCTAATTCACCAAAAGGTGAATTTCATAAAACCCTTTTTACTCGTCTTTCTCAGGAGGTGCCAATAATTGTGGGTAGGGGACTGTATTACCATGACAATCATTTTCACAGCATGTCAGCAGCAGCTAATTTGAAGTTTCTGTTGAAGTGGTAAAAGCATTAATATATCAGTGAGTCTTTTTCATCTTCTCTGCCGTGCAATATGTGCAACACTGAATATTAAATCACTGTACTCTAAGTTTTTAAAAGCAGTTTTTACACCGACCGTACTAGCAGATTTTGTCTGTGTCAAAATATTGTGACACATATCATGTCGAAGTATCATGACAGATGATTTTTCCATATTACCCATCCCTGCGCTGGCGGCTGTTCAGAGCTAACACTGTTTACGACGAAGGTTTGTGCTGCCAGAATTGTTCGTTTGTGGCTGTTGCAGTTCATGATGCACGATTGATCACAAGATGTTTTGATTTGGAACGTGAGCATGTGGTTTGGTTTAGGGTTTAGGGGTTGCATTCAGGAAAACTTTAAGAAAAAAAACTTGCAAAGTTTCTTAAGACAAACACCAAGAAGTTCATAAGAATGACCTTAAGTGCAATTCATGAAAAAACCTGAAATATTCTCATTTAAAAAGAAAATCTCAAATATTTCCTTAAGATTTTCTTGAAAAAAATCTCCATTATTTTCTTATGTTGCATTTTACAGCTTAACATAAACTACATGAAACATATTTTGAATGTTTTAACCATTTTTTTTTCATTATTTAGTTTATTCCTCTCAGAGGACAACAAAATTGAGGAAAAACATCAAACCATGTGTTTAAAAACTTTTTGCAGACAAGAAATAGAGGTAATGGTGGAAAAAACAGAAAATAGGAAAAAAATAAGCCTTCATTGAAAATATGATCATTTTGGGGTGAAGATGAAAGCAAGAGATGAGGATGAACACGAGCAGCAGAGGCAGCGTGCGGGTTTGATAACTGATTTAGATCAAATCGTGTCAACTCTTACAGCCTAAGACATGTTTGAGGCTAAAACATGTAAGAACAATGTTTTTAAGAATACCCCCTGCTCTTAAAAAAATTCTTAAGAAAAAAATTTAAGAAGAAAATCTTAAGACATATTTTTTTAAATTTTAAAAACTTTTTTTCATGAGAAAAACATATTTAAGCAGATTTTTGTGAAACCGACCCTATAGATTTTTCTCTTTGGCAAACTGTCACTAAAATAAATGATGTTTGGTTACTGATTCTATTTTTCCAACCCCCTGCCCAAAAGCGCACCTGTATGGAAGTGATGGAGGCTGTGTGTCCCTGTAGGACGGTGATGGGAGCACAGGTTCGGAGGCACCACACGCGGATGACCTTATCGCAGCTCGCCGAGGCGAGTAACGTGTTCTCGTAATTCACCGCCAAATCTGAAATCTCGGCTGCGTGACCCCGCAGTGTTGCTAGGAGACGCCCGTCATCTGTCGCCCAAATCTTCACCAGACAGTCGTCAGAACCCTGAGAGAGAAAAAGACCCTCACAAACTATTTCGCATGTCAACAAACATCAACAGTCATGTTGTGATGAGAAACAAATAGTACCGTAAAGATACGCCTGCCTGTCCGGTCGAACGCTACGCAGTACACTGAGGACAGATGACCCAGAATCCTCCTGTGCATCTTCATGTGCTGGTAGGTACAGGAAGGAAGGACGTGGCCAAACCGGGCCACGCCTGTTGCCTGGCGACCGCCCATGACTGACACTGTGGGGACAGGATTTGGTGGTAAATACGTGCAACATGGCAACACGTCTCAACATCGCTCTCCTGTATGCAATAAAATGATGAATCTGGCTTAGTGGTTAATGAAAAAATTAATTTAAATTCTTCTCATTATCCTAAACAGGTCTGAACGATTTAGGGAAAATATCTAATTGCTGACTGAGAACATTTGGTGAAAGGGGTGACAATTGATGCTTGGCCAGAAAACACCATGCTCTAAATTAAATCTTAAACTTTCTTAGTTTTAGGCCCGATCCCATTTCTTCTTTTTACCCCTACACCTTGTTTTCGAGTGTCACCCTAACCCCTTGGAGCTGAGCCACAATGGGTAGTGGTTAAAATCTTCCCTCTGAAATGGGACCCTCCAATAAAAAGAGCATTACTTCATTAACAGCTACTAGCGCTGCTCTGTAGGCGACCCCGCCAGTCTGCAGTGATAGCAGAGAAGGGTAAAGTTCAGCTCCTCACTGCTGGGCTTTAGTTGCATTTAGGGCATCATATGCCTTCAAAGAGGGGGGCAATTATTTATTATCACCCACTCCTAATTCTTCAGTGATATGAAGCTGAAGTCATTTTTTTTTCCACCTTAAATGAAGCAGCAGTTACATTCTGGCGCTTCACGCGTCAGAACTGCTGGACTATTTAAGGTGGAACGGGAAAGTTAGCTAGCTAGCTACTGAGACGTAAGCATAGTACTAGTGATTTTTTATGCTTGTTATGAAGAAAACGACCATAATACATTGAAATGACATTAAACTAAGACAATGATGGTTATCGTAATTTTTAACAGAGAAAATTCTCATTTGTGTGTTTCTTTGGTCTCTTGTACAGCCATCTTGCCAGTTTTTCTTTTTTTCCTCATAACTCTCTGTTTGAAGTCTCTGAAAAACCTCCGTTTGCAGGGCCATGTAGCCCTAACACTTCACCCTAGCCCTCTATCTCAACAACAATCGGGACCACCCTAACCCCAGACGTGAACACACAAAACGGAGGGCTAAGGGCTGAATGGTAGGGGTGAGGGGTGAAAAGGGATTGGGCCTTAATCTTACACACGGCGTAAGCAAAAACAAAGATGGACACAGAAAAACACTGGGTATCAGAGAGAGTGGTCAATCAAGTCTAATTGTGTCAGTGGGAGGGGCTTACCAATGTTTGGTGGCTTGCCAAAGCTGATGGGTGGTTCGGGAGGCCTCCCCCTGTGGAGGGCAGCAACTGCAGAACCGGTCCATACTGTGTAAGGACAACCTGAGAGTGAGAGAGACAGAGAGAGAGAGAGAGACAGAGAGACAGAGAGAGAGACAGGGAGAGAGAGAGAACATATGAATAACCAAATTAAAGTGTATACGTGTGATTCTTCAATCCTTGCATGGAATACATAAGAACATCCAGAGCTTTCTGTTGTATTTGCAGAGTAAACAAGTAAAGGTAAATGTGTATCTTCCCAGTGACAAGCCAGTGAATTCCACCAAGTGCTCTGATCCAGGTGTCCAAATATCTATACTTACTCTGCTTTCAAGAGGTCTTTTTTTTGTTGGGGGTGGGACTAAAACACAAAATACCACATGAACACCCACTGGAGTCGGATAATGAAGTCTGGTATGCACAAAGTGGCCAAAGTGTAGCACAAAGTGACCATTAATGCTATTTTCACTATAAAGTAAATAGTCATAATAAAGTACATCTAAACATGTACAATTTCTGCTTTGTTTGTGTTCAAAATCACTCACAAAATAGGCCAAAATCGGTAGAGTCCAGCTAGTACAAGTCTTGCAAGGCAAAGAGTCCGGTGTGTTGTCACAGAACCTAGTCTACTTTGACAGGAAAGGGTCGTTTGACTGACAAGCCAATAACCACAGACCACTGTTTTTGTATAACTTCTAAGGGAAGGAGATCTTTCAGAACAGAGCTACAGCGTAAACAAATCGGTAAAAGCCTGGAAGTAAATTCTTGAATTGAGAATGAACTTTCAAAAGATAAAATCCCACGAATTGTACAAGCAACACAGCGACTTCAACTTGCTCTGAAAGGCTCAGTCACACATGCAAAGTGAGTAACTGCTTGCAAACATTTGTTTCCCATTGAACTGATAAAATCCACAGCATGGAAGTGCGTACGAAAGGCTGTGCTGAGAGCCAATCAGAATGCAGCAGACAAAATCCTGACAGCTGTGGCCAGTTTAAGCCGCCAGACATCAAATGCTCTGTGTATGTGCAGGTTGAGCATCCAAGGCTTAGACTAGCTGATAAACTACAGCAACCATTTGACAATATTCATGTTTTCTTGATTACCTTCCACATGAATCATCAACCACATGGATGCAAGTGACCGGCAATTGAAAGCAACATGGTGGCTGTACAACACACCTCGTTACTCACCATCAATACCAGTAGAGCGACACTGTGACAAACGAGCCTCTGACCAAAAAGTGTTTGTTACTGGATGCTATGAATATCTGGACTGATCATGCGATCCAACAAGAACAAACCATTCAAAAAGGCCCATCTTTATCCACAACACAATACTGATTCACCAAGAGGTTCTACGCTCAATATTTTAGGCATTAAAATAACATCAAACAACTACTTTCTATGTAAAAATAGATCAGATTAACGGCGTCCTGAGCAGAGATAGAAGTCACACTGCCTCAGTGTTGTAATCCGAACTTCTGTTTTTTGTTTTCATAGCCAGTCCGGCGGTGCGTGCATGTTAGTCTCGCCCTGTGAAAACGTCGGCCCTCCCCACGTTTTGTTTTGCCTTCCCAGACAAATGCAGTGACCACCGACACAGCACTGTGTATGCAAGGCAGCGCAGTGCAGTGGGAAACGTTCAGGTAAAAGAGACCTTCCAAAAATTCCTCCACTGAATCTTCCTCGAAGTTGACAAGAACGAAGTTGAAGCTTCTTATTCGCATTTCCCCATTCCGCCTTAAATCGTGCAGCAGTGCCATTCTATGCCTGCGGTGGCTGAATGTAACTGTCACAACATTTAAGGTGGAACAGAAACGTTCAAACAAGAAGCTGAGGCACCTGAACATAACCTGACTACGAACCATTTAAGGTGGAACGGGAAAGTTCGAACAAGAAGCTGGTGCACCTAAATATAGCCTAAATACAAACAATTTAAGGTGGAATGGTAAAATTCGAACAAGAAGCTGAGGCACTTGAACGTAGCCTAACTGCTGCACCATTTAAGGTGGAACGGGAAAATTCAAACAAGAAGGTGAGCCGCCTAAAACTAAACTTCCTGTTTGACTGTTTCTGTCTCCTACAGCGATTTTACATATTTTTCACACTTCTACACGCTCTTCACCACCCCACAACCCTCCCCCACCCCAACCAAATAATACCATATTTCGCAGTAATATTTAGACACAGTTTAAAGATGTGAAAAAAAGTGGCTGTCGCTCTAATCCCCTCATCACAATACTGATATTTGGCAGCTCTAGTCTGTGTGCCGAGTTCAGATGTCCTCCTTGTTGTATGCGACAATGTCAGCAGTCGGTGAGTGAAAGTGAAACTAACTCACTCTTTGCTGTGCGGAGCAGTGACTGTCGTCCAGTCCCCAGCAGACTGCGGACTCCAGGAACGCTGGGAGGAACGTGCGCGTCCACCAGCGCACATACCTGCTCACACACATGCAACAGGTAATCTGCCGGAATATGCTGGTTCAGCGCAACCTGTAAAAACACACACACACACACACACATACACACATACACATACATACAGAGAAAAATACTTTAGAAAAACAGCAGGCGATTTAAAGGACTCCAATCATGGAAACCTGAATTTTTCTCATGCTTTTGTGGATAGAGTCTCTAAACACAGCTAAAATTTCAAAACACAATCGTTCAGTACTCAGCCCAACAGATGCAAAAACACGAAATTCATTGTTTTAGTGAGATCATAACAACCAACTCAACTTAGACAAATCCCCACAGGGCCGGCGTCCACTCACTGCCCACTCTATTAGACACTCCTACCTTGTCAGTCCACCCTGTAGATGTAAAGTCAGAGACGATAGCTCATCTGCCGCTGCACAGTTTGTGTCGGTCATCCTCTAGTCCTTCATCAGTGGTCACAGGACACTGTTGGCTGGATATTTTTGGTTGGTGGACTATTCTCAGTCCAGCAGTGACACTGAGGTGTTTAAAAACTCCAGCAGCACTGCTGTGTCTGATCCACTCAGACCAGCGCAACACACACTAACACACCACCAGCAGTGCAGTACCACCCAAATAGTACCTGCTCTGTGAGGGTCCATGGGGGTCCTGACCAATGAAGAACAGGGTAAAAGGGGGCTAACAAAGTATGCAGAGAAACAGATGAACTACAGTCTGTAACTGTAGAACTACAAAGTGCACCTATACAGTAAGTGGAGCTGATAAAATGGACGATGAGCGTAGAAACAAGGAGGTGGTCATAATGTTATGCCTGATCTGTGTATAACAAGAATACACGTCTGGGGAAAACTTGGATTGCGGCAAAATCCTTCTGCTAACGAAGGTACGCCCCCCCTCAAACCCACCCCGAATTCCTTAAGTAAGTGCTCTTTAATGTCTGGAGTAATCAAGTAATACAAGCAGTTTATGCTTGTTTTTATGCATATACTGTGTTCTCTGCACACACAACATACACCTACATGCCTAACCGGAGTTCTTGGAGGGAAACTTAGCATGGCTTGAATTATGTGACCTCTGTGTGCGAATGGCAGGCTTGATGTTCGTGGAATAATGTCAGCCAGTGAGCGATCGTCCCCCAACTTTGAGCTCACAGCCCTAATAAACCTTTGTTCCCCCCACATTCAGCCCAACATTTCCCATGTTTGTTCTTGTTACAAGATCAAACCTGGACCCCACAGGACTGACAGCAGCTTCGTCTCTTCACTGTGAGGCTATAAGGAGGTTATAAGGTGTGTTTCAGCACCGAAGATACAGGCAGCCAATCAGAACAGAGGGAATTTACCAACAACAGACTTGAACGTACAGAAAAAGAGCAAGTTTTATTCTACGGGATAAAAAAATGTAGTAAACTCTTAAAATAACGGTTCAAGGGTTCTTTAGTAAAGGGAACAGTTCTATTTAAAAACAAGCCTCTCTTTTTACATGCATAGCTCTTTGTAGGGTGAGAATGATTCTATGTGAGCCCTTTTTGGTGCTATATAACACGTTCTCCATCAATCCGAAGAACTTTTTCGCCACGCAAAGATCCGGTTCCACATGAAATTGTTTTATACAGAACTCAATGTTCTAAACAGACCCATTCCCTTTGCTAAAGAACCCGTGAGGAATCATTTTTAAAAGTAACACAAAATCCATACAAAATTCCTAAGTGGACCTCAAGGTCAAAATAAATCATACAAAAAGATGGTTCTTCAAGGGTTCTACAGCAGACAAAATTAACACTCAAAAGAACTCTTTGCATGACTAAAGGGTTCTTTGCAATCAGAGATTCTATACAGCACCAAAAAGGGTCCTCCTATTGTAAGCCTGGCATCGCAATAAAAGAACCCTTTTTCGTGTCATACAAAACACTTTTCAAAAAGGTTCTATATAGATTAATCTACAGCACAAGGAACCATTTCACCATGCAAAGAACGATTTCAGCGTAAAATGGTTTGATATAGAACTATGCAGGATGAAAATATATCATACACACATAAAAAAGATGGTTCTTCAAGGGTTCTTTCGTAAACAAAATGGTTCTATATAGAACCATGAACACTCAAAGAACTCTTTGCATGATTAAAGGATTCTTTGCATCGTGCAAAGGGTTCGGCAGAATTAGATTAGATTAGGTTCTATACAGCTAGAAAGGATTGTTCTACTGTTACAAGCTTGACATCGTTACAACAGCAGAACCCTTTCCAAAAAGGTTCTATGTAGAACAATTTTCTTTACTAAAGAACCCTTGAAGAACCTTCTTTTTTACGAATGTATGAAAAATGCAGGATTTGTGTTCCAGACCAAAAACATATTGAATATATTAAATGTATGAACGATCACTTTAAAGATGAAAACGAACGCATAACAATTGATAAGCGCGTTCTAGATACCCCGAGAGGCAAATATTTATCAATACACACAGATACACGCCGTTGCCAGCCGTCTGGCCGCACGGACCGATCCCATTGGCTTTTCCAGCCTTCACCCAAACAAAAACTGGGACCTGATTGGCTGCGGCGTTTGATTGACGTTAGGAGCAGCCAATCCCGCCCTGCGCTGCTCGGCCTCGCTGAACCCCTCCCGCCCTGCCCGCACAAAGACTCGCATTTCAAACCAAATAATGAAATTTCTACGCGATATGAAAAGTTTCAGCCAAAACATCGGCGAACATGGACGAACAGACAGTTTATAAAACAGCACCCGCCTCGACATTTTCAGCGAACACGGAGATGTTTGTAAAATAAGAAAAAACTAAAAACGTAGTATCTGTTAGGATAATAAAGCCCGCGGCGTGTCTGTGACAGCCCGGTGTTAAAGTTAGTGGTTTTACTCACCCAGTCGGAGAAGTTTCTCTTCAACTGTTTTCCATCCCAGCTCCAGCGTTTCGGGATGATCTGCGAAAGCGGACACGCGGCGCCACAAACACACCAAAAAAGACAAAACACAGCTCGTTATCCCCCCATTTCAGCGTTTATCGGGCAGCTGGAAGAAACGAGACGATACTTATTTATTTACGGCTACAAATAGCCGCTGCTGTCGCCCTGCGAGCGAATAAACAGCTCACCTCGTACTCGTCCAGTTCCTCCAGCAGGATCTGAGGGAGCGCAGACACACAGACACACAGCGGTTTAGCCAAAACACACACATTTACACACGCAAACGGACTCAAAACGACGTTCTGAGCAGCGGTGCGTCTTTACCTTCGCCGACTTTTTACACGGTCCAGACTGAAGAAACCTGGCAATGAGAAAGTAGAGCTCTGTGGGGGAAAAACAGAGGGAGACGCCGCTTAGCCTTAGCTTAGCTTAGCCTAGCTTTCAGAAGCTAAATGCTAACTAAGAAAAAGAAACAAAAAGAAGAAAGTGTGGTGTTGAGGAGGTGTTTGAGGAGGGGAGGAAAAAGAGACATTATCGCGGTGCCCACCGGCTTCAATTTGCGGATACCGCTCCGATGCCATGGCCCGGTTTGGGCTCCGGGTCTTTCGGCTGTTTTTGCTAATCGGCCCTTCTTGAATTGTCCCACCGTTCGGCCTTTTTCCTCAAAGCAGCCTCGGCTCTCGCCGCGGTGTTTCAGCGCCCTCCTGTGGCCACGGCTCGCTATTGCAGGCTGTATTGAACGCTGTGTTATTAGCTGCCCTCCTGTGGCCACGGTCCACGATTGCAGGCTGTGCTGAACGCGGTTATTAGCCGCCCTCCTGTGGCCACCGTTCGCTATTGCAGGCCGTGCTGAGCGCTGTGTTCTTAGCCGCCCTCCTGTGGCCACGGCTCGCTATTGCAGGCCGTGCTGAGCACTGTGTTCTTAGCCGTCCTCCTGTGGCCACGGGTCACTATTGCAGGCCGTGCTGAGCGCTGCGTTATTAGCCGCCCTCCTGTGGCCACCGTTCGCTATTGCAGGCCGTGCTGAGCGCTGTGTTCTTAGCCGCCCTCCTGTGGCCACAGCTCGCTATTGCAGGCCGTGCTGAGCGCTGTGTTATTAGCCGTCCTCCTGTGGCCACGGGTCACTATTGCAGGCCGTGCTGAGCGGTGCGTTATTAGCCGCCCACCTGTGGCCACGGCTCGCTATTGCAGGCTTTGCTGAACGCTGTTATTACTGCCCTCCTGTGGCCACGGCTCGCTATTGCAGGCTATGCTGAGCGCTGTGTTATTAGCCGCCCTCCTGTGGCCACGGCTCGCTACTGCAGGCTATGCTGAACGCGGTTATTAGCCGCCCTCCTGTGGCCACGGCTCGCTATTGCAGGCTATGCTGAACGCGGTTATTAGCCGCCCTCCTGTGGCCACGGCTCGCTATTGCAGGCCATGCTGAGTGCTGTTATTAGCCGCCCTCCTGTGGCCATGGCTCGCTATTGCAGGCTATATAGAACGCTGTGTTATTAGCCGCTCTCCTGTGGTCACCGTTCGCTATTGCAGGCTGTGCTGAGTGCTGTGTTATTACTGCCCTCCTGTGGCCACGGCTCGCTATTGCAGGCCGTGCTGAGCGCTGTGTTATTACCGCCCTCCTGTGGCCACAGCTCGCTATTGCAGGCCGCGCTGAGCGCTGCGTTATTAGCCGTCCTCCTGTGGCCATGGCTCGCTGTTGCAGGCCATGCTGAGCGCTGCGTTATTAGCCGTCCTCCTGTGGCCACGGCTCGCTATTGCAGGCTTTGCTGAACGCTGTGTTATTACTGCCCTCCTGTGGCCACGGCTCACTATTGCAGGCCGTGCTGAGCGCTGTGTTATTAGCCGCCCTCCTGTGGCCACGGCTTGCTATTGCAAGCTGTGCTGAGCGCTGTGTTCTTAGCCGCCCTCCTGTGGCCACAGCTCACTATTGCAGGCTGTGCTGAGCGCTGTTATTAGCCGCCCTCCTGTGGCCACGGCTTGCTATTGCAGGTTATGCTGAGTGCTGTTATTAGCCGCCCTCCTGTGGCCACGGCTCGCTATTGCAGGCCATGCTGAGTGCTGCTATTAGCCGCCCTCCTGTGGCCACGGCTCGCTATTGCAGGCTGTATTGAACGCTGTGTTATTAGCCACCCTCCTGTGGCCATGGCTCGCTATTGCAGGCTGTGCTGAGTGCTGTGTTATTACCGCCCTCCTGTGGCCACGGTTCACTATTGCAGGCTGTATTTAACGCTGCTATTACCGCACTCCTGTGGCCACCATTCGCTATTGCAGGCTGTACTGAACGCTGTAATTAGCCACCCTCCTGTGGCCACGGCTCGCTATTGCAGGCTGTATTGAACGCTGTGTTATTACTGCCCTCCTGTGGCCACGGTTCGCTATTGCAGGCTGTATTGAACGCTGTGTTATTAGCCACCCTCCTGTGGCCACGGGTCACTATTGCAGGCTGTACTGAATGCTGTTATTAGCCGCCCTCCTGTGGCCACTGTTCGCTATTGCAGGCTGTATTGAACGCTGTGTTATTAGCCGCCCTCCTGTGGCCACGGCACACTATTGCAGGCTGTACTGAACGCTGTATTATTTGCACGCTCCTGTGGCCACGGCTGGCTGTTGCAGGCTGTATTGAACGCTGTGTTCTTCGCGCCCTCCTGTGGCCGGGATCGGCCTCTGCATGCACTATCGCTCATAACCGCCAGGGGCAGGAGGGTCAAGCAAAGGAAGAAAATGGAGGGCAACCAGGTGAACTCACCTTCTTGGAGAGGAGCAGACATTTTGATTTCGAGGGTGTTCGAGTGTTTTCGATCATGACAGCCACTGTGTGGTCATTTGAAATAGGAGTATGAGTTACTGTCACATTTAAAGTGCTAAATGCCCCAAGGTTTATGGCAAATATGGACATTTATAACAGGTTGTGTTTATAAAAGTTCAAAAATATATCCCCCTGTCCAAAATTAACACACTCACATGCAACTATTACTTTAAAAACTGTCTCTAATAGTGAAAATGATCTCTTGAGTAAGGAGTTTTTGGTAAATTAGTGTCATGGACCAAGCAGGCTGTTTGACTTTCAGATTGAAAAAATAACACTCATCAGCATCAACATTAAATATTATTGCACTTATGTTGAGGTTCCTGTATATTGACCGTGATAAATTACATTTGATTAAATGTAATTTAATCAAATGTAATCAAATGTAAATGTAATTGTAATTTAATCAAATGTAAATTAATTTATCAGAAGGATGAGCGTCTTAGAAAATGTGTGTGTGTGTATTTATTTTTTGTGCTTTTAAGACTGACACATGTAAATTAGCTCTATTCTGATTGGCTGTCCTGTATTGTGCCTCATTCAGAAAGCAGTCTGGGCTGAAACACTTCTTATAACTTCAGCATGGACAGGCGGATGTATGTAAATGTGCTGGTTTTTACATCACAGAAACAGTGAATTCCAGACTGTTTTTGCAGCGCACCTTCCTTATATGGGCTGTATGGACTGTGGAATGAAGGTTTTACACAAATCAGGCTTACTTATTAAAAAAAGCTGTAAAATTCAGTTTTTCATGATGTGGGGCCTTTAAATTCAGCTCCGCCCTGATCTAAAGCCAAATTCTGACCCTACCGTCTGTGTATCGCTGTTGAAATAGAGACACAGCAAGCGTGTTTCAGTGCACTGAGTCTCTGGCTGTGTAACTTTCTTAAAGTCTCACTCTGGAGCTGCCGAAACTCTGAAACTGGTGAACTCATCAGCAGACAGAGGTCATTCTCCATTTGAAGTGGGAATTCAGGTGGATACACTTTTCAAAAATCAAAAAGTCTTAATATGTCCATTATCTCCTATTATTATATATGTACAAAAAAGCTTCATTCAAACATATTTTACAGTCACTGGTGTTGTATGAATGTGGTGTAACACCAGTGACGGTGACTCCAGTGACGCCCTGGTTAAAACTGAGGATTTTGTAAACTGGCTGATTCATTGGCCGTCAGGTGACCTTGTGTATTTAAAATAAGTAACAAAAATGATATTCGACATTATTTTGACAAAATTTTAATTACCCAGCCATTAAAGCTCATAACACCACTGACACATAGAAGTTATGAGCTGCCTGATAAACAAAATTATTAATAAATTAATGAAATATAGCGAGTGTGACTCGCCTTCTCATGCCTTGAGATGCTTCCTCTCTGATGAGCCTCGACCCAAAGAAGCAGTTTATTAGAGCTAAAAAAAATGTTAAAATGTAAAATAATAGTCATGATAACACCAGTGAACAAAATCTGTGAAAAAAACATTTTTAAATAAAATACATATTTTTAAATGTAGTATAACGTTAATTATATGAAAAGTAAACATGAATCTGTTTTATACAAATTCCTGAGTTAAACCTCTTAAAATATGGTTTTATATAAAAATGGTTTGAAAATTGTTTTTGCAACGAGCTGTTTTACAAATGCAGAGCGACTATCAGAGAATCATAAGGGAAAAGTGTTATTTAATCTTAGCTCAACTGTGTAAATGTACATACTGACTTTTGGAGCTGTGCCTAATATTTTCAGCATCTTTTTAAGCCCTGAGGCCTTTGTGACATGGTTCCCCCTCCAAATAGAGAACACCAGAGTACCTGTAGTGTATTTCCACACCCCCATTTTAACCTCAGGAAGCGGCTGGTAATGAGGGGGTCAGTTGTGAGGAAATCCAGGAACAGGACTGAGAACTTGTGGTCGAAACTGAACAGTGAAGACTGTTTAGGAGATACACAAGGTGATTCAAAAAGATTTCAAAATGATTTATTTCACTTGTAAATCATTACAGAACAATGCAGTAAACTGTAAATGGTTTAAATGAGCATAAAGTTTATTATGTAATTTTACAAGGTCTCAGTATGAACCTCCTCCAGCGGTACAGACAACATCAACACCATAGTCAAATTCACCCCATACTCGATTGAGCATGTTGGGTGTCGCTGCACTCACGGCTCTTTCAGTGCGTTTTCGGAGATCATCCAGTGTTGTGGAACCAGCGACGAACGCTCTGAGCTGTTGGAGATTCACTGCCCACGAAAATCATGCTGCAGTTATGATGGATTCACTCTTATTGAAGTGGAGAACGCAGAACGCTTTCTGCACAGGGGTCGCATCTCCTCTCAGACTGAAGGGAGTCATCTTCCGGCGACAGTCAGAAACTCTATGACCCCCTCTTTCAATTGGATTGTGATTGGTTCCTCGGTGCATCACGGTTGTAAAAATATGACACTTTGAAATCGGATTAATCTTTTTTCATTCACCCTGTATTAACACATGCATTCCATACATGTGGCCTAGAGCAGGCAGGGGTTGACACTGACTATTGTCTGGTCCCCCTGACCACAGCATTTCAGATTTTGGGCACTAAAATGCAGCGGGCACTTCTGTTTTTCCTTTTCACAAACCTGTTTGGTTGGACACCTGACTAATGGCACCAAATTATATTTAATCAAATTCATTACCTAAACACTGATACAGCTAATGCGATGATGTGGCAACTGTGGTGGTCCCTCTTTCCAAGCTGGTCCACCTGGCATCATAGATGTTGTTCCATTGGATGAAGTTTGCTAACATCACTTTATGAAATAATAATGTGTTGATTGAGCTGGCGTTAGACTGAGAGGTTATCACATTGCCTAAAAACAACCTAGATCAAA